ATTGAATGTCCAGTGTTAAAATTGAACAATAAAACAACTTTAGATTTTGATATTTTAACGCATAGAATCTAATGGTGTGGGACAAAAAAGTGTATGCTTTCTTAAAGTCCACTTCATTCATCATTTTGAGAAACGTAGGTTAGTGGGAGCTTTCTCCTTTACTTCAATGCCTGTAAATGATGGCGGTACTCAAAAGTGGCCTGTATGATGGCATTTTGCCAGTTACAACCACTTGCATATAAACTTGTCGTTGGTCCTCTAAGTGTTGCTTGGATGCAACACGGGTCGTTGTTTCGGTTCTTGACACGTCAGGTGCTCTCGCTTCACCGGAATAAGTCAGCGAATCGTGGAGCGATTGCTTCCTCGCGGGTAAACTTAGAGCGGTGCCAGTTCTCAATCTCTTTTAGGCTCGAGCCGATAGCTCGAAATCCGCTAATTAAAAATCTCTTCCCCTTAATATTCGCGATTCATTTCGATAATAAAATAGTGCTGCTGCTCCCAATACCGTACTGAACCAAACTGGGTTTATTGTGCATTTGAAGCAGTAGAGAGGACCATAGACTTGCTTTACCAACGAGTTTCTACTGTTTGCATACTGCTGTAGTTTGGCCTCCTGAGTGCCCTATAACTCGTAGGGAGTTAACTACGATGTAGTATTAATTATAACGTCGGCTGTAGCATGTGTGGAAGGAAATTCATCGGGTATGCGCCACATAAATGGTGGAGGTGTTCATCTACAAATCTCGTGGAAGTAGCCAGTGAGTATTTTAAGGACCAAGTGTGATGCCTTAAAACGGAAGGAAAGAAGCATAGCTTTGGTGGAACACGCCGGGATATTAGATGTGCCACAGGAAGTGTGTTTTGAAAATGTACTGTGTGTGTCTTGCTTATAAAGGGACCAATGAAAATCGTAGTAAATCGTACATCCTCCAAACACTGGGTGTGTATGATAAAATGATTTGATGCTTTGGTATCCTTAAAAGGTCGCGGACGAGGAGAGGAGTTTACGTTGCGCCATGCGGTAAGATCAACTGGGAATCAAGAAAACGTACGAAAAACTAGGTGACTGAGTGCAAAATTTAGTCAGGAAGGGAGCATTCTAATCTTGGACGTGCTGATTTACGTCTGGAAAAAGAAATAACAGATCGCATCAGCACCAAATTTAGCGAAAACATGTCAAAAAATTGCTGTATTCAGGTAAACTGAAAAGGGGCGCGATTTTTAGTAGGACGGGAACAAGGTTGGCTTCATTTTCAGGTGCCTTCTCCGGTTTTGGTCTGGAGTTGGATGCGCCATTGATTCAGCCGCGTGAGCATGTTTCAGTGATATCAGTATATAATCATGTTAGCTCCACGAGAAAAGTTCTCTGAGGTGCTGAGTTACCTTGTAGGGATAAATTCTGGTAAGAAAGGACGTTATGGTCAGCAGGAGGGAAACAAGTGTATTTTTAGGCCGCTCACCGGATGAGAAAGCAGTACCTTGCGATTTATTATTGTTGAGAGGGCCATGCATCGTAGATGAATCCATGCTTACTGGTGAAAGTGTGCCTCAAATGAAGGTTTACTTTTACTTTTTCTGATACTTTTTATGAATTTGTAATGTACCTGCAAATTTTTCAGTGACTTCAAGGCTAAGTTTGACCCTTGATAGTAGTTTTGCGCTGCTTCCTAAGACTTGTTAATCCAGTCCTTGAGACCGATTTAAACGTGTTTCTTCGGTGTTAAGCGTTTTTGGTGCTCATTCTGTTTTTCAGAATGAAGTGCTTATGGTCTAAGATGTATTATTTATGTCCATTAATCATGAGCAAAAGTTGCTGCCTTTTCAAGACACTAGTAGTTTGCCTTTGGCCTCTAAGACATCGGTTTCAAGGCTGATTAATATTATGGATGTGCAGTGTTATCCCAGATCCAATAAGCATTCCACGGTCCCGAGGTTTTTTTTTCGTGGTTTTGCTAGTCTTCTGTATTTATCGGATATTTGTGCATCAATAATGAAATAAAATTTTTTGAAAAAATTAAGTCCGGAAAAGGAGAAAAGGAAGTAGATTAGTATACGATAAAAGAAAAATTTCTGACATACTAGAAAGAAATGTTTCGGTCCGTGAAGTCATATACATTTAGCAAACGCCGTACACAACCACTCCATCGACATGCAGCTTAGAGCGACAGGACTTGGCATGATTGTGTGGGGCATTTGGTTACTTCTTAGTAAAAGCACTAAATCTTGGTGGTGGTGTTTCGTTACAGGAGCCAATCGAAGACGTTGTGAAGTCGCACTTCTTTGATTTAGAAACGGACAGTCGCTTGCATGTGGTTTTTGGTGGCACGAAAGTTGTTCAGCATACACCACCCGGTATTTTCTTTTGCCGCTTTGCATCTGCTTCCTCCAGTCACTGCTTGGATAGTCGCTGAGTAAGCTGCATCAAAAATGTGTTGTAAAGCGTTGCTAGCTCTGCTAAATCATCACGTTTTTAAGCGAAAAATGAGGCTGGCATGAAGGCGCCTGATGGCGGGTGTATATGCTACGTGTTACGAACAGGGTTTAATACGAGTCAAGGCAGGTTGCTGCGCACAATTATGTTTGGCGTTAAACGAGTAACTGCAAATAATCTCGAGACATTCGCATTTATCTTATTCTTGCTAGTGTTTGCTGTCGCTGCAGCATCCTACTTGTGGATTAAAGGTATCATAGCTAATTCCTCCTCAGTATTTTGTTGTTTTTGCAACTTTAATTGCTTGTTTTTGGCGAAAAAACTCTATGGTCTTTTCAGATTCAGTTTTTAGCACATAACAGATCTGAAAAAGTTTAAGTAAAAAGGAGCTTATCTTTTTCTGAAGTTCATTCAATTTTTTGGCACTTTTTTAAAATATCAAGACATTGCCTGGGTCCTAGCATTGTATCTAAAGCATCAGATATCAATTGCGTGACACTCTGCGTCCCACAAAATGGCTCCGTTTAAAGGTCATGATACACGGTCGGTCACTTTATGCTTTGCACTGTTTATGTGCTATAATTGGCAGGCATACCAACAAAATTTGTCTGATGGTATCGTCGCTCTTTACGTACAGCGCCTCATTGCTCTTCTGATTGATAAGTTGCGGGTTTGCCGCTACTTTGGCTTGCAGTATGTTGGTGTTTGTACAGATTCAAAATTCATTGTGTATTCACTCGCTGTTAGAGGCGGAGGCGCTCTTGAAATAACTAAGTGATCAACACATGCCAAAACAATCACTCGATGGCAACGGTGTTTTTTGCTTCCTTTTCTTAGGGTTGCGTTAACGCAGATTGATAATGATTTTGGACTGTCTGGAATGTGACAGCACCAGTTTCCAATCGAAGCAGAGTGAGCAAATTGTAG